TGTGACGATCTGTTGCTTTGTGTGTGTGCTTGTCTGAAATAAATGTGAAGCACTTGGGTTAAACGGACTGGGTGATGCCCACTGCCATGGCCCAGCAGGCTGCAAGATGCCGGGTGGGGCGCATGCCTCGATGCTATGTAGCTGCGTCTTCCCCATCTGCCTTCCTACAGCCTGGGCTCCGCCGGGCAGCCAGGTCACAGGTTTGCGGTGGTGTCATTATGGCAGGAGCAAGCAGAAAAGCTGCTGGGAAATGGCTATTTCTTGGTGTCCCTATGCCTCTAGGCAGTGCCAGTGAGGCAGCAGGGGAGCCCAAGAAGCATGCCTACAGGAAAGGAGGCTATCCCTCCACCCCCTTGGGCTTAATCTGCTCGAGGAGAAGCAGGTTTTGTGTAGGTGAAGCTGTTTCTTGTTTGAAACCTAAAACCACAGCACATGCTGGCTGCAGTTGCTAGACTGGTGAGTTGGAGTCTCATAAAACACTGGGAGCAGCAGCACTTTCTCTGAAGGGTGTGAAGAACCTAGGGGAGAGAAAAAAAATCCTTTCTTCTGGACTAATGTGCTGCACTTGGGCCTGCCCCCCACTATCCAGAAATAGATCTGGCTTCGGTTTTGAAGTTGTATTGGAACATCTCTTGAGTGCTGCAGACAGGCCCGTGCTAGAAGCCATGCCCAGCTGCCAGCGATCAGTTGAGGAAAGGCAAACCCCTCCCTGGGCAGCCACCTCTGCTTCTGCCCAGCTTTCTGCTTCCTGCCAAAAGGATTTGCCCAGAGGAGGTCGGTGTCCAGCTCGTGGATAGCCTTGTTCCGCTTCCCCTGAATGCGTGTTGGTGGGACTCCAGCTGGGAGGTAGGAGCGGGCTCTGTTGCTGTCGCCGCTGTGCCAGCACGGCACGGCCCAGCTCTGACTGCCCCTTGGAGTCTGGACGGTGGTGTCCGAGAAGGCAGCCTTGCCAGGAAGGGGCCACGCAGGAAGCAGCTGCTCTGTGGCAATCAACTTTCTCGCCTCCTGTTTGTGGTTTTCTTACTGTTTTCTGGCTTTTCAGCTTGAAGTTGGAATGTGACAAACTAGCCAGTGAGAAATCGGAGATGCAGCGTCACTACGTCATGGTAAGAACCGGTCCCAGCAGCCGAGAGCATGTGGGTGGGGACTCCAGCCGTGAGCAGGTGCCTATGCCTGGGTTTTACATGGCAGGGAGACTTTGCCCCATGGAGCGGCAGGTCTCTAGACAATGCTGGCATTTGCTTTTCTGAAAATGGGGCTTTTTTTATATTTTGTGTTGTCTGCATGCAGTGTATTGTTGAAATGTGGGGAAGTAGCCCTTGTAGCAGAGGGGAGGGATGCCAGGCAAGGCTGTGGTCTGTTCCCTTCCTGTCAAGGAGTTAACAGGAGGTTGTGATACTGTCCATAAAGATGAGCTGGTGCCTGCTTGCCAGCTGCTGCACCTGCCCTGGAACGAAGAGATAAGACTTAGAAATTAATACAGCAGCTCTTCAGAGCAGAGTTAGGACTTTAAAACCAGAAATAAGGGAACTGGCCGCTCTATCCTCCTGTACTGCCCAGACTCCGAGGCTGTGGGGTGCAAGGCGTGCTTGGGGCTGAGGACAAGAAAAGGTTGCAGCTTTCCTTCTTTAGTAATGGCGAAGCCTGCCCCATTCTCACTGATAAATGATTGCTTCTTGGGCCTTGCAGCCTGCATGGAGACTCTCATCTCCAGGTGTGGCTGAGATATATTTTTTTCCTTAATGCTGACAGTCACCAGAATTGATTCAGGTTACCGTCAGCAGCAGAGGGGAAGGGCTATTGCTTGTTGTGCAGCACTTGAGGCTTTGCAGGCACAGCAGCTCCTGCCTCATCTGCATGGCTGAGCTAGAGTCGCAAAGAGCTGCTGTCACTCCCCACCACAGCGAGTCATGGGAAGCGAAGAGGAGGGTTTCTGTCAATGTGCAAAGCTGCTACAGCTGCTCTGATTTTTGAATAAGTCACAATTAGCAGCTTGGGGGTCGGGCTCCTGCTTCCTGTTCAGTCTTCAGAATGTAAAGAAGGCTCGAGAGCCAGCAGCGGTGTTAGAGCAGACTGAGATCATGGCGATACCAAGCTGGGCGCTTCTTAGACTTGTGGTGTTGATCCCAAAATGCCAGTGATCTTCTCCTTGAATTAAATGAGCGCAGATGTGGATTTTTTTCCTTCCCTTTGGAAGAATTGGGATTGCAGCCTGCAAGCTGAGGGAGGAGATTTCTAAACTCTCAAACATCAGCCTTAAAACAGTGTCTTCCAGGGGTCAGGCATTAGCTTCTCCTGCCAATAGATTGCTCTGTTGCTGCTGTGCAGGGATTTTCTGGGTGGGTTTTTTTGTGTGTTGGGTTTTTTTTTCCCCACATAGCTTTTTCCCAAACAGCTGGAGCTGTGTGCAGCTGGATGTGGTACTTGCTAGATGAAGCCCAGTTGTGATCTCTTCCCCTTGCTCCTGAAGCAGCCATGTGGGCTTTAGGTTATTGGCCAGACAAAGCTTGTAGAGTCAGGCTGCCTCTCTTTTGGCTGTGGATGTGGAAGTCTGGAGCCCTGAGCCTTTTTCCAGGTTTGAAGCAGCATCACTCACTCTCACCTTGATGCACAGTGCTGAAAGGTGTCTGTGAATGGTGTTGCATGGGGCACAATCGGCAAGTTCCTAGGTCTTGGTCTGCAGCAGTGTGATGCTAGAGCAGGGTGGGCAGGGAGTGCGTGGGCATGCTGCTTCTGCCTTACACTGGGAGAGGGTCTCTGTGTTTGCCTCCTGCTGTCTTTGTTTCCTAGGGCTGGCTGCTTCTCTCCTTCCATCCTTGCCTAGCCTTTGTAGAAGACCTTGCTAGGAAAGCAGTGGTAGTTCCCAGCACTGCTGTATGGAGCCACTTTACCTGGTGGACACTTGACTTACAATTTCTTTTGTTCTCTTCTCTCTCGTTCTACAGTATTATGAGATGTCCTACGGGCTGAATATTGAAATGCACAAACAGGTAGGGGGAAGGCAGTTCCAAGTGCTCTAATTCCTGGGGAGGGTGGGTTGTCTGCTGTGCTTTGCCCTCTCTCACTTCAGTGGTATTTCAGGAACTAGAAATGCCATGAGTCTGTAAAATGTCAGAGCTGCCTTTGAAATGCAGGGACTCCTCACCTCTCAGGATCGCAGTGCTGGACTGAGGGCTCCCACCCCGGGCTGTGGGCATGCTCTGGTTCTCCCCAGGGACTGGATGGGTATTTAAGCACCAGACAAGGCAGTGTGGGCAGGGTCTGGAGCTGTGGCTCAGAGTCGGTCAGCAGATGCAAACCCGGGGTGGAAGGCAGGAGATGACCCTGGGTCCCTCCCTCCTTCAAGGCTCCAGGTGGGTTCCTGGCCACGCCGCCTTCCCCAGTGCCTGGGAAGGCTTGTTGTTTTTCATGTCAGCATGATCACACCTTTGGCTTCCCCCAGGCTCTTGCTGCAGTCAGACCAGAGAGCGCTTCTCGTGGACTGTGATTAGGTAACATGATGGCAGACCTTCTAAAAAAAGCCTCCTTGTGAGGGAGACTGTGCTGCAGCCTGGATAAGTTAGTTCATTGCCCTCATTGGTGGTTAAGTTGTTAATTATCCCCAGTGGCTAATTGCCTGTGCTGTTAACAACATGAGCCTCCTCTGAGCCTGACTCTATCTACCTTCAGCTTCCAGTCACAAAGTTGTGTGCGCGTCGTGGCTCAGTTATAAGCCTCTTAGCACAATTCTCTTCCCCGCAAAGGCACTTGGTGCTTCCGATCCCATTGCCCTCGTCGGTGAGCCCACGAGACTGGCTTCCTTGGGAAAACCTGCATATTGGTAAAGGATCTGAGCCACGCATCCTCACTGTTGTCCCATGAACTGTCTCCCAGCCTAGTCCACTGCCCTGTCATGCTGATGGGGCCCGTTCAGCTGATTTTGCTGCATGCCTAAACCCTTTGGCTCTGTATTCCTTTTGGCTCCATTGGAAAGTGATTTGCAAAAGGCTTATAGCTTTACTTTTTCCCAGGAGGAGAGTATTTAACACCCCAAAATTTGCCATCTGCTTGTGTGAGGCTAGTGAAGAAGTTACCCAGTCCCTCAGCTCAGCTGTGGGGAGGCTGGCAGTGGGCGAATGTTTGCCTATGGGGAGGGGGAGTCTGAGCGACCAGTCTCCAGGCCAGAGCGGGGCTCTTAGTGGAGGCAGCACGTGTGTCTGTGTCCACATGGCAAATGTAATTCAACACATCCCCACCTGGGTCTATAATAAGTTTCCTCTCTGGTTGCTCCCAATTCATTAAATTAATATCAGAGACCTGGAGAGGGAAGAGAATATTGAAAACTTGCTCTTTCCAGTCAGCAGCATTGATTCATTAACTATGTGGGGAGGGGCCTTGGGGGCAAGGTGACCCCCAATGGCACCAGGATGCTGCCAGCATCTTTCCAGGGGGAATGTGTTTTCTTAGAGCTGTTTGGGGGCTGAGGCCCTGCCTGGGGAGGGGGAAGGTGGAGCAGCCGGTGCTGAAGGTGGTCAGTCCCAAGCCACCTGATGCCCTTCCTCTCCATTCTTCCCACCTTCTAGGCTGAAATCGTCAAGAGGCTAAATGGGATTTGTGCACAGGTTCTGCCCTACCTTTCGCAAGAGGTAAGTCCTCCGGCTCGGCCTTGGCTCTGGCTCGGGGGCATATTGGGAGGGGAGGCCCCCATCCTGCTGTGGGGCAGTAAGGTGCCATGGCCCCCCTGCATGGGCAGCTCCTCACCCCTGGTCTGGGAAACCTTATCGCTTGCTCTCAGCCTCTGTGCAGGGATGAGCCCTTCAAAACAGGTTTGGCCTGGAGGCCTTCGAGCAGCCCCCCCAGGTGCTGTGTGGTGGCTAATGTGCCTGTCTGTCCCTGTCATTGGCGGCTGTGGACAAAGATTGGCTCTGTTCTCTCCTGCCTGTGATTCCTGAGTCATTGGCTGCTTCTGCACAGGCAGTGGGAACTTCAGGTGGCTAATTGGGGGAAGAGGGTGTTTAAAAAAATACCTCCATATGGCTCCTCCTTGAGATTTGGTTCCTCTGCCTCATTAATTAATGCAGCTGATGGGCTCCTCCCACTCCCCTGAGAAATTAATTGGGAGGGCTTAGGAGTTGCTGCCTGAGGCAGGAGGAAGATGAAGCACCTCTAGTGAGGTATCTGTCCGTCTCCCCACACAACCCCACAGAGGCTAAACTCCACAGCTGTTCTTGTGACTAGTTTTCTGATGAGGACTAGCTGTGGGACGGAGGCTGTGTTTCTTGGTCTGTTAGCTGTGGGGTTGGGGGACAGGCTGTGTTTTTTTCCCACCCACCTATTCTTGGGGAAGACAAAGTGGCTTACTGCTCAGATCAGAGCTGCCTAATAACTACGCCACAACTAAACCTTTTGCATCTTAATGCAATCCCTTCCCCCTCCCCAACTCTGTCTTGCTGCCAAGATGGAAAAAAAAATCCACTTGCTGGATTGCAGTGGACAAGCCTGGTGTTCGGAGACCTTGTGCTCTCAGAGGAGCAAGTACAGTTGTCCTTTATTTTTTTCGAGTACATAATACAGCTGTTTTTTCCTGCCCGTGTTTGGAGCAGCCATGCTGGGCTCTTCCACAGCAGCATCTTCTAGCTGCTGCAGTTGAAACCCGGCATGTGTCCCAAGGAGTGGGGAGCTTCTGATTTTAGGGCTTGTTTTGTTTGTTAGCGGGTCTCGCTCTGTGTCAGGTCTAGGTAGGAGAGGGGAGGCAGCGTGAGAGCCATTGCCCACCTTAGAGCCCTTCTGGCCAAGGATTGCTGGGCCTGTGTAGAGCAGGACAAGGATGGGAGTAAGAGGGAACCTGCTTAACCCTGTCGTGAGGAACTGGAATGAGACAAGCATACCTCCTTCCCTGCTCCTCGCTACTGTGGGCCTCAGTGGCGTAAGGTCATTGTCACAAATGAAGTACATGCAGGTGTCTCCAGCTGTGGGGTTAACCAGCCTGCCTCTGTGCCCTGACATCTTGGTGCTAGCAGCTGAGATAATGTACGTGTGTGTGTCAGACCCAGCAGGGCTGGGTCCCTGTTGTCCTTCCCTGTGATACTAGAAATGACCCTGAATTCCTCTGTTCTTTCCACACCAGCATCAGCAGCAAGTGCTGGGAGCCATTGAAAGAGCCAAGCAGGTTACGGCGCCAGAACTGAACTCCATCATCCGTGTATGTGATGCATGTTTAGTTTGGGTTCAGAGGGATGGGAGTCCATGTCTTTGGCCTTCGAGAAGGAACCAGGCAGGGGAGTCATGACCTGGGGATGTGCTGGGAGCAGGCTGCTCCATGTGCAGTGCTGCAGCCCTGCTGGGATGAGGCCCTGAGTGCTGGTCTGGCCCTGCCAGCATGGGGCTGGTTTTGACCAGACTTGTTACAACGTGGGCATGGGTTTGCAGAGGAGCACAGAAAAAAACTGCTGTGTCCCAGCATGGTGCAAGGAGAGTAGCTTTGGTTTTGAGCAGGAGCTGCAGCAGCTCCTTGACATGAAAACACCATCTGTTCTTGGTCAAGGTCGGGAGGGCTTTAACTGCATCCTTGGAGCGTGCCAGAGTCTGAGGCCAGATGTTGTGTGGGCTAGGGGCTGTGTATAGTGCTGGGGACACACTGTTGAGTCTTTTCTTGAGGCTGTCATAGCCCAAGGACTCTAGAATCTCTTTTTTTCTCCCCCCCGCCACCACAGGCTGTGGTGCTCTCCAGGACCCTGAGGTCCCAGATTTAAGCTTGGCTGCTGACACAGTCTGTCTAGGCAGCCCAGGCCCTTGGGTTGGGGTCCAAGTGCACTCAAAATTACAATATCCCTCTCCTGTCTTCCTGTCTGTCCATCATTCTCTACAG